AAAATACTTTAAAATTACAAGGACAATGCATCAAGTTTCTGAGCACACAAATATGATTCTTCATTAACTGGAAGACTAAAGGTAGGAAAAAAAGATGATGATTTCACTGTGAAAAATGACTCACTGAAGTTGTGTAACAGGGTCTTACATTTACCCTCCACTGAAAATATCTGGTAATTCTTTCATTTGCTACACCAAAAATACTTTTCTATTGTTAAGAGGAAAAAAATATGTTACAATTTTGAAGTAAGCAGATACTATCTAATATGAGTCATTTAGGTGCCATAGACAGATTAAGTTAACACAATACAAAACCAAATGACACCAAAACAGCCAGTGGGGATGTCATGATACGGTGACAAACTCTGTATAGCTCTGCAACAACCTGTGCTCCTAACCTAACTCAGCCCAACCTCTGACCAAAGCTGGGATGCTATCTGTGCAAAGGCAGCCTGCAGTTTGTAGAGTCACTGGGTCCTGGAAAAGGAAATGGCTGAAGAAAACACTTGTGCTGGGGCCAAAATTCCTGTATCCCTGGGGAGACGGAAAGCAGAGGCAGAAGTTTCAGACTTCCCAGCTCTATCCTGCATCAGAACTTCCACCATGTTAGGAATTGCCCCCAGGGAACTGTCTTGGCTCTCTGCCAAGATCAAATCACTGATGGAGCAAAGATCCTCCCCTCTTTCCATCAAATTCCACCTAATTCCAAAGAAGGCGGGAAAAATAGTATCTGCATTTTGAAAGATTCAAATGGTATTGCTTCCCATTTTGTCATTATTACTGGACTTTTTTCTTTTTAATATATATTACATTACATAAAGAAAATGAAACTGCACAATCGTTTGGTGCATGTCTAGTGTATCTCTACTTTTCCCCAGCAGTTACTGGCCAAAACCCTTATTAAGTAACATTTGTTATTAGCCACATGGAAAGAGAAAGCACTTATTTTTATATCAAAATACCATAAACTGTCCCTTTAAGGTGAGCAACAAACTGAAGTTACTAGAACCGTAAGAGCTGCTTGATTAACAACTTTAGTTACTGTGAAAAAATGACTTCCAGTGAGCACTTCTCATTTAAAGTTTGGAAAATACGACTCTGAATATTGAACATTACTCAGTGATTGGGCTAAAAAATATTCTTCAGGTTTAAATGTCAATCAATTTCACAAAAATAGAATACTTTACAAGGGAATAAAAAAATACAGGCATGGTTCTTTCAAATGTACCTCATAAGAACTTGGAAGTTTTAATTTTAAGCTGAGAAACTTTTTGATAGTTCCCACGGTCACTCGGGTGGAACAGCGGATGAATTTCTTCATTAAACCCTAAAGCAACCAGAACAAAACAGAAAAGCCATATCAGAAATTTTGTAGCTAAGCAGTCTCACTTTCTATTAAATGGCATATAAGCAATCTTTAGTGCAAGAACAGCTGTAAGTAGTATTTTTTTTTTTTTTTTAAAAAACAGTACCCCGTTTTACCGCACTCTCTCCTAATCCGTAATGGCACCACAGGGATGTTCCTGTTCCCTCATTTTTATGAAATTTATGAGATGACAAACGAGTTCATTTAGCCCATCGCTGCTTCTAAAGGATTTTACAGAAGATACAGAAGGACAGACAACTAAGAAGAATGTGGGTAATCTAAACATCTGAGTTGGTAACACTGGTGGTCAAACAGATATTATTCTTGGAATTTCTTTAGTTCTTGAGAGACAATAAAAACATCCTCCAATAATCTAGGTAAAATATATGGAAACTACAGTCTTGAGGCATGATCTATTGCCATAGATTCTGTGATCCAAATGGCTAATAGATTTGATTCAAGAGGAAAGCTGAAAACCAGAGACTCCTGATGTGGTGATGGAGATATACATTTCATACTATATATGGCACAGATGGACAGAGATAAC